AGAACTGCTTTTCTGACTGATATGACACAATGTTAACCATTTGTACATTCTCTAACGCGCATATTTTAGATTCACAATTCATTTAAAAGCCTCTGGTGTGTAAAAATAGTAAATATCATCATGTCCTCCTGTTTTTTTTTACCCTAATAAAAGATATAGGAGCATTAAATAGGCCTAGTTAATAAAGAAACTTCATTCTACTGCTCATTATATTAGCGTTAGCCACGCTTATGCTAACGATTAACTACTCTAATAACAGCGATGTTCATTTCAATCCGACATTCAAATTAAAATATTGAATAATATTCATAACAGAAGCGGTGTTTCCCACAGACTTGCACTCTATTTGTGGCGGCATCTATATGCAAATTCATTCTCTGCCAGCAGGAGGCGCTTGTAGAGCCGAAGAAACAGAGGTTTCCCCGCTAACGGCTGTAATCAAAGCAGCGCACCGCTCACAAACGCTGCTTTATCAGGCATTACAGGCAAGATGACATGAAAATGACATCCATAATTTTCTGAAAACAGTCGGTTTCCTTCAGAAATACAGTGATGTAAAAACTTCTGCACCGGGTTTCCACTTTGATCGACTTTGCCACTAATAAGTCAATGTATGGGAAACACTGATCTAAATATTAAAAATTAAAATGAAACTTACCTGCTTGAACTCTTTCATTTGATCCGGGTGTCTGTCTTTAAAGTGTTTTGTTAGTTTGGTGTGTTTCCTCGTTTTGATGTCGCCACGTCTCAGTGCTTTTATGAAGAGAGCGCATCTGCGCACCTTTCGGATCGCGCATCAAGAACCGGGTACCGTAACGTTTTCATTTTTTTAGTACCGACTTGGTACCGAAGTACCGGGTCTTTTGACAACACTAGTGCAAACTGTGAGATATAAACTCGCAACTGCGTGGAAAAAAAGTGAATTGTGAGATAAAAAGACACAATTGCCTTCTATTTTCAGAAACAGGCTTCCGTTTGAGACTTTATAATATGTCACCAGTTTTCCTCTCCGCAGCACTGAGGATATTGTGTGCATTTGTTAGTCAGAGCAGACGTACCTGATGAGCTTACAGTCCTTACAGGTGAGATGCAGCTGTGTCAGATCCCGACACTCCACACTTTCAATCAGCTGCAGAGGAACCTGCACACATTCACAGGAAACTGTGTCTTTAGGCCTTGAGGAGGAACAATTATTCTAATTAGTGCTAATTAGACTCTAAACTCTAATTAGAGTTATTTTAGTGTCACTGAGATACTAGTATAGTTTATTAATAGTTTGAATTAGTTTTTATATTTTACATTTTCATGTTAATTTTGTCATTTTTAGCAGTTTTTATTAATTTTATATTTCAGTTTTTAAATTTAGTAATTAAAAAAAATTAAGTGTAACTAAATTAAAAACTGAAATGTTTTCTTTGCCGTTTTTTTATAAATATTTTATTTATAATTTTTTTTTTAAATGCAATATTTAATTTTTTTGTGATTTGTTTTTGTTCAAGTAACACAAATGTTTCTTATTGCTTTAGTTTCAGTTTCAAATGTATCGATTTGAATTTGCGGTCCTTCTAAAACAGCATTCGCTCACATTCCATTTCAACATTTGTGCTCAACAGAAGAAAAAGTCTACGTGAGGCTGAGTAGATGATGACAGAACTTTCAATTTTGGGTGAACTAGTCCTTTTAAAGCATTAAATGCATTTATTAGTAAAGACGTGCTATTAAAAGTGTTTGATCTGCGACAGGATTATATTTTTGAGATGGTTTATATTACGCGACGTCACGACAGGGAACAATAATATTCAAACTATGTGTCTAATTAAAACAGGTACTAATTATGTGCTTTGTAATTCTACTTCAAATATTATTGTGCATGACTCTAATAGCCATAATAAAAGCAAAAAAAGCACTCGCTGGGGTATATTTGTAGCAATAGCCAACAATACATTGTATGGGTCAAAATTATTGATTTTTCTTTTAGGCCAAAAATCATTAGGATATTAAGTAAAGATCATGTTCCATGAAGATATTTTGTAAATTTCCTACCGTAAATATATCAAAACTTAATTTTGGATTAGTAATATGCATTGCTAAGAACTTCATTTGAACAACTTTAAAGATGATTTTCTCAATATTTAGATTTTTTTGCACCCTCAGATTCCAGATTTTCAAATAGTTGTATCTCAGCCAAATATTGTCCGATCCTAACAAACCATACATCAATGGAAAGATTATTTATTCAGCTTTCATATGATTCTTTTTGAAAAATTTACCCTTATGACTGGTTTTGTGGTCCAGGGTCACATTTACCTGAATTAAATGAAACAAGAATGCTGAAACTGTGAACAAATGATTATACTGCATGACAAAGATCGTATCAGTCAGTGTGAGACTCCGCCCACGCTCTCTTCTGATTGGCTGTGATTTGTGATTGACACGGGATCTCAGCACAGACGCTCAGGTGTGGTTGTGTGTGAGAGAAACACTCACATTGATGAGGTTCTCCTGCAGCTTGATGTGAAGGCGGTAGCTGGTTAAGGCAATGACAGACTCCTCTGCTCTCCCGACACGCTCCACACACTCGCCCTGCAGCAGCGGGAACGGGACCTGCGTCACACACACCTTACTGTGAAACCAGCTTTATTTTACAATTTTACGCTTTCTGGATTCTGTTTTAATGGTTAAATAAATTTTTTTATTTTTTTTACCAAATTCTGTTTTGGTAATGTATATATATGTATATATATATATATATATATATATATATATATATATATTAGATCTTTACTTAATATCCTAATGATTTTTGGCATAAAAGAAAAATCTATAATTTTGACCCATACAATGTATTGTTGGCTATTGCTACAAATATACCCCAGCGACTTAACACTGCTTTTGTGCTCCAGGGTCACATTATTTTTAAATATAATAATCAACATTCAACTTAAAAAAAATAAAAATGCGTGTATGCAAACATGTAAATTGCACATATTGCAGTTTTTAAATTACCTTCTAAATTATAAAATTTCTATAATATATGCAGTGGCTCTCATAACTTGTTTCATAACAGATTTATTTAAACGTACATTAAATAATGAAGACATCACTAACAGGTAAAGTGAAATATAATGAGTATATAGTCTAATATTTTGTGAAATGCTCTTCTCTAGACTTCATTTATCGTGCACTAACGAGCTGCGGACACTGATGACTTCCTGAGGTAAATGAAATGCTATGTGACATTTCGTTTATAAGCTGTTTTATTGCCGTCTTTCCACGGCTGAAACACTGATTGAGCGATTACATGAGACATGAGATGTTCATTCAAGTTTATTTCATGTTAAAACTAGTAGAAAAGAGGAAGAGATGATCGCGCTGAAACGCATGCAAACTGAACCGAAGGACTTGTACCGAAAAAATTTTAAATTACGAATACGTGTAGCCGTACACCCCTAATATATATATATATATATATATACACACACTAACAGGTCAAAAATTTGGGATCAGTAAGACTTGTAATGTGTTTTAAAGAAGTCTCTTCTAAAAAACAGTAATCTTGCATAATGTTATTACAATATAAAATAATGATTTCTATTTTAATATCCTTTAAAATATAATTTATTTCTGTGATCAAAGCTGTATTTTCAGCATCATTACTCCAGTATAAAGTGTCACATGATCTTCAGAAATCATTCTAATATGCTGATTTATTATTAGAATTATCAACAGTTGTGCTGCACAATATTTTTTTTGTGGAAAATGCAATACTTTTTCAGGATTCTTTGATGAATAAAAAGTTAAAAAGAAGAGCATTTATTTAAAATATAAATATTTTCTAACAATATAAATCTTTGCTGTCACTTCTTAACAATTTAACACATCCTCGCTGAATAAAAGTTTAAATTTCTTTCAAAAAAAGAAAGAATAAAAATGAACTGACCCCAAACTTTTGAACTGCAGTGTATATTGTTAGAAAATATTTATATTTTAAATAAATGCTCTTCTTTTTAACTTTTTATTCATCAAAGAATCCTGAAAAGTATCACAGCTTCCATAAAAATATTACAGTTTCCAGCACTGATAATAAATCAGTATATTATTATGATTTCTGAAGATCATGTGACACTGAAGACTGGAGTAATGATGCTGAAAATACAGCTTTGATCACAGAAATAAATTAGATTTTAATGTATATTAAAATAGAAAAACGTTATTTTACATCATAATAATATTTCACAATATTACATTTTTTCCTGTATTTTTGATCAAATAAATGCAGCCTTGATGAGCAGAAGAAACTCCTGAAAAAAAAACATAAAAAATTGTTCTGATCCCAAACTTTTGATCAGTAGTGTATATATACATATATATATATATATATTTTTTTTTTGCCCAGTAATTTTATGTTGTCTGTTTTAATTTCTCTGGATTCTGTGTTTTATGATTTAACAGAGATTTATTATCAAAAATGGTGGTAATCTTGTGATTGCATAAAACTTTAACTTTAACAACAAGATTAATTAATCTTTTAAAATGTAACCAAATGAAATTTGAACAATCCGTTTTTTGGGGGCCAAACAAAGTGCTACATGACAGAAGTTTATGGTTTTAAAAAACCTGTTATATTGTGATATATATATTTTGATATTATTTTTATGATTAGTTTTAATAAATTGTATTATTATTATTAGTAGTAGTAGTAGTAGTATTCCTATACATTACTAAATTATTTTAAAAATTCCATGACATCCTGTGTTAAACGGTAAATTACATTTTTATGACTGAATCCCGTGATTCCGTTCTCATTTTCCACACTGCAGAAATCATGGGGCTCTACATTACATACAAAAAAAAAAACTTCTCAAAGAAGTGCCTAGTGAACAATGAAATCATACTGCAACTCTCAGAATTAAAAGCAACACCATCATCAGAAGTAGGACAGATGTATTATTATTCCTAAAGCGGTGTGATACCTGCTCGTCCTCCGGTACGGAGCTCCCCCGCGCCTCCAAACTCTGCTGCCCCTCTTCAACCTTCAAAACACAAGCGTGGTGTCAGCGGTGATGTGAGAGCAGTATCAGCTCGTGTAAAGCAGGGTTCGAGGTCTTACCATGACCCCGGGACGAGCGAGCAGAGAGGATCTCAGTCCCACAGACGGCAAACGCACCGACCGACCTGAGAGACGCGTGATTAACATTCACTACAAGACACCAAATCACTGAATATAATCATAGTTGCACTCACTTCAACACACTTTACCATGCTTCAATCTAGGGCTGCACGATTATGACAAAAATCATAATTGTCGATAATTCCCTTGAAATTGTAATTGCGATTATTAATTACGATTGTCACAATTTACATTGAATGATGTTTATACCATTGTTTGATGCAACTGCATGCCGCATTTTTATATGAAAATAAACAAGCTGAAAAACCTTTAGTGCTTTTCTATAGTATTAAGCTTCAAATGTCAACTAAACATCGGATCGGTTTCTTCTTAAAATTATAAAAAAGTAAAAATATGAATGGTATTATAATGTTATACTAAAACTATAAAAAATGGAAAAACCCTTAAGATAACACGTAGAAAGAAAAAAACGCATCTTAAGCGTGCAGAATTACATAAGTGGACAATTAATTGCCGCTTTGAACGATTACATAATTGTGGCATCCGTAATTGTAATCGCGATTAGAAATTCGATTAATTGTGCAGCCCTTCTTCAATCCATTTAGGTTCTAGGTTTCTAGGGTTTATTCACATTGTTTTAATAATTTGGCCGATGCTATTAAAAACAGGACTGAACTGACATAATCAATGAAACATTTCATAATCAACGAGGCGTTTGGCTGTTGCTGAATCATGCCGATCGTTTCGAAGCAGATCAATACAGTGAGACTCAAGCTATTGATTGTATGGATTTACCTTATACAGGCACTCCAGTGATTCAACACTAGATGAGAAAACCAAAAGACTATTATTATGTTTTGCATTTAAAAATGAGATTATTTTACTACCATTAAGATTATTTTCATGGCAATGAATCAAATTCTCATTACTGTAAAACAGAGTATACTAACTGAAACTAAATTGTGACCCCGGAGCACAAAACCAGTCATAAGGGTCAATTTTGTGAAATTGAGATTTATACATCATCTGAAAGCTGAATAAATATGCTTTCCATTGATGTATGGTTTGTTAGGATAGGACAATATTTGGCCGAGATACAACTATTTGAAAATCTGGAATCTGAGGTTGCAAAAAAATCTAAATATTGAGAAAATCATCTTTAAAGTTGTCCAAATGAAGTTCTTAGCAATGCATATTACTAATCAAAAATTAAGTTTTGATATATTTACGGTAGGACAACAAAATAAATAAATAAAAAAGATAAACTCAAATATAAATATAAAAATGTAAACTCAAAATATTAATAAAAACTATAATAGCATCTAAATGATGCTACAATAACACTGTTATATCAAATAAAATGATACACAATTGTGTTCTATTTAAATCAGCACAAAGAAATGAATTTTAAAAAATTTACTTTATAATTTAAATAATTTCATAGAATCAAAATATAAATATTTATATTAATATTTTTTCTCTCTCTCTTCTCTGACCTCGACAGACTTCATGAGATCTACAAAGCACCCCCCGACACAGAGATTTATGAATGATTTTACAGGCGTCATGTAAGATCTCGCCGATCTTAGAGTCTTAATAACTGCAATATCTCTTATCTTATCTTTATAAAAAAAATAAAGTGAAAATGTGTGATGGGATTTTCATTAATGCAATTCATATGAAATATAACTGCATGAAAGCATTAGTTTCCCATTCCAAACAACCACACAATCCCATCATATGTCTCATCAATGTCAGCACAAGACACAGTGTTCATTTTAATTTCACTGTGTGTTGATGCATCAGAAAACAATAAATATGAATCCTCAACTATGCAGAAAGAGCAAGTTAACTCAAGGAACCGCAAATCTTCGTCTGTAACACACATGCACTAACACGCACACATTCCATGCACATCATTTCTGACACACGATGTTAAAGTGAAGGTCTACAGACCTGGTTCTGGTTCTGGATCTGGTTCTGGTTCTGGATCTAGTTCTGGATCTGGTTCTGGTTCTGGATCTAGTTCTGGATCTGGATCTGGTTCTGGATCTGGATCTGGTTCTGGTTCCGGTTCGGTCTCTCTGTGTGTCGAGAAGACGCTCAAAGAAAGAAAGAAAGTAAGTCTGCAAGAGAGGAGAGGTTAAAAAGGACAGAGTTAAACATTAAAAACCAAATTAAGCAAGCATGATGCAACATAATCAGATCATGTGACAATGTAGCACACTTCTTTGATACTACTTGAGGAAAAAAACAGGATTAGCAGAATAAAATAACAGAGAGGTTTCAAAACAACATCCATTGTTATTAACGACTATTAATAATAATGAATTACATATAAAAAATATATATATAAATATAAAATAAAAAATAAATGTTGTATGAAGGTAAATTTAAGACTTTAAGACCAAGTTAAGAAAACTTAATAAATAAATTTAATGGAATGCAATACGTAAACATGGTTTCTAAATGTAAGGTTTGAAAATGCAACTTTTATATATTTAACTTTTACTGTATCTTCTGATCACACTGCAAAAAGTGCTGTTCTTCATCAGTAATGCTGTCTTGTTTTCCAGTGCAAATGTCTAAATATTCTTAAAATCAAGTATTTTTACTTGAGAAGCAAAATGACATGAAATAATTAGCCTTGTTTTCTGAGAAATGGATCAAAATGAAGTGAGTTTATGATTAAAAAGAACAAATATCTGCTAAGGGGCTCAGAAAAATCTACGTAATTCAAAGAGAAAGCTCGTTTTTATTTGCTATGTTAACAGATATTTGTTCTTCCTTTAAGCATAAACTCATTTAATTTGAATGTTTCTTGATTTAAGGATGTTTAGATATTTGTATTGGAAAACAAAACAAAAATTCTGAGGAAGATATATATATATATTTTTTTTTTTTTCCATGATGTTATGAATGTAAGATTTTCTGCTCTGATTTAAGACCTTTTTAAAGACTTAATTTGTGGAAGGGCAAATTAAGACCTTTTTAAAAACCTGCAGAAACCCTGATTAATGTGTGTTAGTCTCGCAGGACTAAAGTTTGACCTTTATACAACCTGATCAGAATTCATAGTCAACCAATAATAAACAGGAGGGTGGATTAAAAATAAAACCGGTTTTGAAGGGCAGCGTTACGGTTAACACACACACACACACTGATCCACAGCTATTCATGTTGATGAGAAAGTAAACTAACCAAAGAGCATGCAAAGAAAAGATCATGCAAACAAAAAGCCTGGTTATGCTGTTCCTGACAAGCTAATATTCACTGACAATATCTGTTTGCTTTCAACAAATTTCAGCAAATTTACTCAAAGTGCTTTACTATTGCAAGAGCATCTGATCTCACAATAATCAATTTGCAAAGGCAGGTCAGATAAAAACAGCTACCTGCACTTATGTATTTTCTGTATTGTCTATTGTGCAACAGTGTAAATGATAAGAATCAGGCTAAAACACATCTGCTGTGCATTCAGACCTAGTGAGCTGCCTACCTAGACAGCAGTTTTGTGCTAGAAGTGAGCTGTCAGCTTAGTCCAGCTGACTCTGAACGTGTTGATGATGCCTAAAAGGGCAGTAAAACAAGTATGCTATCTAGATAGATGCACTAGATAGCCAGAAATGTGGTTTAGCAGCAGCACACTCGGTTTGACGGTCATTAAACTCGACCTGCTGCAAGAACTAACACCAGTGCATTGATTAAACCGCGATTTTATTAGCTGTTAAACACGAATGTCTGTCATTAGATGTTGTTTATGTTTGTTGTTGTTGTTGTTGTGGAGGGCGGAACCCGGCAGCGAAACCCGTTAATAAAGCCGCTGCAAGCGCCGCTCACTCACCTGCTTCAGGCGGTTAGATGCAGGAGATGCGCGCTGTTGTGGTAAAATCGGAGTAAAAGCAGAAAAGAGACGGTAAACGGAATGTAAACATTGAGAGTAATCCGCTCTACGCCGCCATGACGCTCCCCTCTCAGCTGTGCTGCTGCCGTCATGTGACGCCGCGACGTCATGACGTATGCACGCACGAGCGCGTCATGTGACGAAGGTTTGTTTTGGCTTTAGCGGAGTTTGGGTGGAGATTATTTTTTGTTTGTTTGTTTGTTGGTGTTTATTCGTAGCTTTTCTCAATTTGTTATAAGGGGTGTGTGTGTGTGTGTGTGTGTGTTAATTATGTAGAATTTATCTATTGTTGGTAATTATTTTATGTATTTGTTTGTAATCCCTTGGCAATGTTCGTTTTCTAATTGTTGTTCGAGTATTAATAAAAAATAATAATTAATAAAATGTAAAAAAAATATATATATATTAATAAATAATAATGATACATTTAATAAATAATAATAAATTTAATAAAATTAATAAAAAAGTTTTGATAAACATAATTGTAAATGTAAATTAATTATAAATATTTAAATTAATTATTATAGTGATTATTAATAATTAATATATATGTATTCATTCTTTTTAATACATTTAAATTAATTAAATACAGTGTTTTTTAAACAACTGTCACAATTTTCAATTCATAACAAACATTTTTATAACTTTTTTGTAAGATTTGTATTTAAAAAAGGTATAATAATTGTGCTGATTTCCATTCACTTAAGTGTAGATTTATGTAAATGTTTTGTTTTGTTTTTGGTCTTGAGTTAAATCACTGGCAGTATATAGGAGATTCTTTTAATAAAATGCCTTTGTTTATTTTTTTAAAACATTTATGTTTACTTATTTAGAAGACTTTTATCAGCATCATAACTGGAACAAAACAAACACAAATGAAAGAAAAACTCAGATTCAGCTTCACCATCAGTCACCAAAAGGGACTTACATTTATTGTCAAACTTTCATTGTTTACCATTTAGTCTCCAAACCAAACTGAATATAAATGAGCTTGCATAAGTAGTTATCAAACAAATATACAACCAGCAATTATTCATCAGCCATACTAAAAAAATATAGACCAATTTGGCCAATCAGGGTTTACTTTATCATTACATTTTGAAATGAATCATGAACAAAAAATCTGGATCAAAAAGCAGGCTGGATTCTGAAATGTTCTGGTTTGTACTGGTTCTGAAAAACCATCTCGTCTGCTTCTAGACCTGTTAACAGACAGAAAGCAAAGGTTTGTGAGTTGCATCTATTCTTTTTACACGTATTCTTTCGTGTGAGTTTAAAGAGCATTTTATACATTTACATTTACTTGCTCACAAGTACATACAATATACATTATTTTCCTTGAACTTCATTTATTGAGTTTTTGCACCAAAAACAGGGTTTTGTTTTAGTTTATCTAGATCAGGGACTCCCAAACATTTTTATGAGCCGAAACCCTACTTACTTGAAGACACCTGAGATTTTAAGTTATTTCAATCATTTAAAGTCACTTTCACGGTTCACAGATATTAAAATAAATTTTTAGTTTTATTTTGATTGTTTTTATTTTAAAATAATTTTGTATTATGTTTAATTTTTCAATATATTAATATATTATTAATACATATATACACACATATATATATATATATGTCTGTCTGTCTGTCATCTATCTGTCTGTCTGTCATCTATCTATCTATATATCTATCTGTCTGTCTGTCTGTCATCTGTCTGTCTGTCATCTATCTATCTGTCTGTCTGTCATCTATCTATCTCTCTGTCTGTCTGTCATCTATCTATCTCTCTGTCTGTCTGTCATCTATCTATCTCTCTGTCTGTCTGTCATCTATCTATCTCTCTGTCTGTCTGTCATCTATCTATCTCTCTGTCTGTCTGTCATCTATCTATCTCTCTGTCTGTCTGTCATCTATCTATCTCTCTGTCTGTCTGTCATCTATCTATCTCTCTGTCTGTCTGTCATCTATCTATCTCTCTGTCTGTCTGTCATCTATCTATCTCTCTGTCTGTCTGTCATCTATCTATCTCTCTGTCTGTCTGTCATCTATCTATCTCTCTGTCTGTCTGTCATCTATCTATCTCTCTGTCTGTCTGTCATCTATCTATCTCTCTGTCTGTCTGTCATCTATCTATCTCTCTGTCTGTCTGTCATCTATCTATCTCTCTGTCTGTCTGTCATCTATCTATCTCTCTGTCTGTCTGTCATCTATCTATCTCTCTGTCTGTCTGTCATCTATCTATCTCTCTGTCTGTCTGTCATCTATCTATCTCTCTGTCTGTCTGTCATCTATCTATCTCTCTGTCTGTCTGTCATCTATCTATCTCTCTGTCTGTCTGTCATCTATCTATCTCTCTGTCTGTCTGTCATCTATCTATCTCTCTGTCTGTCTGTCATCTATCTATCTCTCTGTCTGTCTGTCATCTATCTATCTCTCTGTCTGTCTGTCATCTATCTATCTCTCTGTCTGTCTGTCATCTATCTATCTCTCTGTCTGTCTGTCATCTATCTATCTCTCTGTCTGTCTGTCATCTATCTATCTCTCTGTCTGTCTGTCATCTATCTATCTCTCTGTCTGTCTGTCATCTATCTATCTCTCTGTCTGTCTGTCATCTATCTATCTCTCTGTCTGTCTGTCATCTATCTATCTCTCTGTCTGTCTGTCATCTATCTATCTCTCTGTCTGTCTGTCATCTATCTATCTCTCTGTCTGTCTGTCATCTATCTATCTCTCTGTCTGTCTGTCATCTATCTATCTCTCTGTCTGTCTGTCATCTATCTATCTCTCTGTCTGTCTGTCATCTATCTATCTCTCTGTCTGTCTGTCATCTATCTATCTCTCTGTCTGTCTGTCATCTATCTATCTCTCTGTCTGTCTGTCATCTATCTATCTCTCTGTCTGTCTGTCATCTATCTATCTCTCTGTCTGTCTGTCATCTATCTATCTCTCTGTCTGTCTGTCATCTATCTATCTCTCTGTCTGTCTGTCATCTATCTATCTCTCTGTCTGTCTGTCATCTATCTATCTCTCTGTCTGTCTGTCATCTATCTATCTCTCTGTCTGTCTGTCATCTATCTATCTCTCTGT